CCTGGAACTCACTCTGTAGACCAGGCTGGCCTCGAACTCAGAAATCCTCCTGCCTCTGCCTCCCAAGTGCTGGGATTAAAGGCATGCGCCACCACCGCCCGGCAATATTCGTCTCTCTTGCTTGTTGCATATAGTGAGTGTCTTGGGTTTTTAGCATTTACCAGTCTTGGAAAACATTGGTTGAGAATCAATGTCTTTGTAAAATTGCCAAACTTTAAAAATTTAAAGGTTGGAGACATGGCTCAGTGGTTAAGGGCACTGGCTGTTCTTGAAGAAGGCCTGGGTTAGGTTCCCGGGCCCTACGTGGTGGCTCACAACCACCTATAGTTCCAGTTCCAGGGGGATCCAATGCCATCTACTGGCCTCTTGGGTTCCTGCACACATGTGGTGCACATCCATACTTAGGCACACACATGCACATAAAATGAATAATTCTTTGTGAGGGTTTTACCTCACAAATTTAAAGAGCTGTCCCCTGGAAGAGCGGCCATACCTGGCTTGCGGTTGGTCGTTTCTTTGGATCCCAGTTCAGCATTTCAGTCATAAGCTGAATAGCCTCACTACTGGCATTGGGAATGAGTGTTTTGAGGTTTATAGGAATGCACTGGGGAAATCGGAAATTCATGGAGGACGCAAGCTGGTATCCTTCCGGCCAGTCACTCTGTTAAAGGATATAAACAAAGAGAAAGTGGTTTTTGTAATTAACATAACTCAGGGATGACACGGATTCATGTGGGAAGGCTTCAATGCTGAGTCATATAAATAAATGTGAAATACCAGATGCCTTAGAGAAAGAAAGGACATGGATCTGAGAGGGGGTTAAAAATGAAATAGCATATCTATACGTTTTGAAATAGCAAACTTCTTCTGGCTTTCAGTCTCACTGGCATCATGGTGACTGAATCAAGGACAAAATATTTACGAAGAGGCTGCCTCCTGTGAAGATTCCCACTACACATCAGAGCAAGTCCAAGATTACAATATTCGTGGGAAGAAAGGATAGTCAGCTTCATGCTTTAGCATCTATATTCTCCTGCCGACTGAAAGGCCAGTGCTGGCTTAATTACACAATTACACTTAGTAGTTGAATCTTAGAGGGAAAGGTCTTCCCCAAAGGAAATAGCCAGGAGAGCTACTCAGAATTCAGTAGAGCAAATATCACAGCAGAGATATAAACGAAAAAAGCTAAGATAAAAAAAGGTCTAGGGTCCCAGGGGTTAATGAATGGGGGGGTAGGCATTCACAGAGCAAGCGGGGGAAGTCTTGGAATCACAGACTTAAACTTAAACTTTAGGGGGACTGTCCCCTTAAGTGTTTTTTAAAGGAAAAGCAAACACCTTTCTCCCATTTGAATCTGGTGGGACGCTGACTTCTTGCAATCTTTACTGCTTCCCAATAAGAATGTAATGCTTGTAAGGAAAATTGTTCAAGTGTAAAGGTATTTGAAACTGAAAACATCACACACCTTTGCTAAAGTAAGAAATAAAAAACAAAAAAAGCTAAGTAGCAAGTGAGAGGCACTGAGAGGCCAGCGCTACTCCGGGACCAGGGGACTTACTTTCTTGGGAGTCCCTAACACTTGGCAAATTTTAAAGATCTCATCAACTTCACTTGTCCCTGGGAAAAGCGGTCTAAATGTATAAAGCTCGGCCATTATACTTCCCACGGCCCACACGTCAATGGGAGAGCTGTACACCGAAGACCTTAGTAAAACTTCAGGAGCGCGGTACCTGTGAAAACAGAAAACAGTACAGAAAAATGCTGTTTCGAGTGTGATGTCACAGGGCCATAGTCAGCAGGAGTCAACGGTTGGCTCACAGCTTCCAAGCAAGGCCCAAGGACAAAGCATCTTCTGTATACCAGGGACTCTGGGTGAGACACCTATTTCCTGACCACAGTGGGGCTGGCTAGAAATGTAGAGAAAATGTCCATGTGGCTTGGAGTAGGTCTTCATAAGGATAATCCGGGAAGGTAAGTACTCTCTGAAGTATTCAGAAAGAACCATGACAAAACCATCATGTGTGCATGTATCCGAATGCAGGTTAGGAAAGGAAAGATGGGTGGATTGTCCTAGAGTAGGGGGTTTCTGCCCCTCTCCCTGTTTTTTTTTTTTTTTTTTTTTTTACAAATTACATTGAAAATGTTCATGCTATCATTACACTTCCTCATACAGATAGTTCTATTTTTAATTTACAAGAGCAAAGGCAAGTGGCAAGCCCCTGCAACAGCCCCTGCTCCCAGCTCTTGCTGACCTCCTTCTACAGAACAGTTGTCTCCCTGAGTCTGGCTTATGTCACTTAACATGAGGAACTCCAGCTCATCCTATCTTCCTAAAGATGACACAATTCCATTCTTCCTGTGCGTGTGCATGCACGCGTGCGTGCATGTGTGTGTCTGTGTGTGTGTGTTTCTCAGATAGGGTTCCTCTGTATAGCCCTGGCTGCCCTGGAATTCTGTAGACCAGGCTGATCTAGTATATATACAGTTTTCTCTACATTCACTAACCTTTCAAATGCATACACTGCCTGGGACGCTGGTGTGTTCTGGTCTGCACTATGCCAGCAATGATGGCCGCTTGTGCTAGACAGCAAACGCCAGTGAATATTTTGTATATGTTCATCATTGACTACTCTTGATTGATAAACAGAAAATTATCTTTTTTTTTTAACTAAAGGTGTATTTTGTTTGCTTTTGAAGACTGTTGTTGGGATATTTCCTTCAAAAAAAATGAAACAAACAAACAAACAAAAAATCCCATGTATTCCTAAGTTCAAGGCTGCTGTTACAAAGCACCACAACTTGAGATGATGCACGCCCTCTATCGCAGCATTGGGAGGCAGAGGCAGGCAGATCTCTTGAGTTTGCAGCCAGCCTGGACTACATAGTGAGTTTCAGGATAGCCAGGGCTACAGAGAGAAACCCTGCCTCAGAATACAGAATATGTATATGTGTGTGTGTGTGTGTGTGTGTGTGTGGTATATGTGTGTGTGTATATGTATACATTCTTTCCCACCTCACTGATCCCAACTTCCTATCCCGTCTCCATATATTATTTTGTTTACAATAATATATTGCTATAAGACGTATGTACACATTTGATTTTACAAATAAACATACAGGAAAATGCACTTAAGCCCACAACTTGCTAAATTTTCCACAAATAGGACACACTTACAGGTTCAACAACCAAATCAAGAAAGGCATTCTATGGGTACCTCAGAGGCTCATTCCATCACCATTGTGACGCAAACCCACAGCTTTCCTAGCCTTGCACTGTATACAAATGACTGCATTCAGTAAAAACTCTTTTTCTGTGTGGCCTCTTACTCTCGGCGTTACCTCTTAGAAGTACCATAGTACTGTATGCCACGGTAGACTGTCCCTTTCTCCTGCTGAATAGCCTTCCCTTAGGTGGAATGCCCTATGGGCTATTGGGACTGTGACATCGATTTTGGTAACTCATGACATTTAACTTATTTGTGTCTTGGCTCTCATGGGGCAGAGACTTCTGTTTTTCATGGCCTTGTGTTCTTAATGCCTATGGTAATGTTTAGCGCATAGTAGGTATTTAGTATTATTGGAAGGTTGAATGAAATATTTTTCCTTCTTTTGCTTCACTAGTGGAAGAGCCACAAGCCAGTTCTTCCCTCTCTATAAAGGACATAAATTGTCTACATTTTATTTTAAATACCCAATATGGACCTTCTGGAAAGACAATGAACTGTTCAACATAGGAAAACTTTGATATAAATGTTACCATCTGGTAGACACATAGTCAGTATATGGTGGCTGTGATCTTAATTCTCTTGCAAGTCCAAAATCAGCAATCTTCACCAGCTCTGGACCCATGCAGAGCAAGTTTTCAGGTTTCATGTCCCTGTGAAAAAAGCCTGTGCAAGGAAGAGAGGAAAACACACTAAATAATCATGTTTGTTATCATCGTGTGACGGTTTGTTTGCTGGTTATAAATATAACCAAGCCCTCCTATTAGCGGCACAGGATTAGGGGAGGAAACACTGTCTGTGGAAGAAGTAAAGGGGTGTAGGGACTTGCTTGCAAAATAATTTAGAAGGTTCACATGACATGTAAGATCATTAAAAATAACCGCCCATTTGACTTGTATATTTAATTTTTGACTTCAGTGGGTGTGTGCAAGGGATAGATACTGACACATTGTGACTATCCCTTAGTATTTCTACAACCGTATAGAATTTGGATGTATTGTTATCACTACTGTGTGACAGACAAGAAGGAAGAGACGCAGACAGAAGCTTGGCTTCAGACAATGTAGTTGGTCTCCTTACTGCTGTCATACCACAGCTTAACACAAGATTCCCTGAGGTTAATCACATGGTTGAAAAGTTTATTTGACAAAAGAGCTCCACGCATTTGAACTAATCTCCTCATTTATTTAACAGTTCACTTCCGCCTGGTGGCTAAGTCTTTGAAAAAGTCAATAATGAAAAAGCTCATTATTACCGAGTCTGTATAAAATAGATGGTCAGTTACAGAGGCTAATGGGCAGCCCAGAGGAAATGGGGCAGGATTAAGGCACCCACGAGGTCTTTCCTTGTGAGTCAGCTTTAAAAGGATTCTTCCCTGAAGTGGGCCCCGGCGCTGGCTTCTGAAGACCATTTAACCATTGCCTACCTAGGTGCAGCAATACCATGACACAGACCTACAAACCTTTCCCGCTAAATACCCCAACGGCCAGTGATTCTAACCAGACATTCAATAACAGCAATGTTTTAGATGTCGGAGCTAATAATCATCTTCATTTAATGGATATACAAAATCACATGAAGTAAACAAGTAAGGGATTCATAGGAAATAAAAACTAGCTTCCCTTCCACTGAGAATGGAGTGTAACTAAGTGTAAAAGCTAAGGACAACTATAAAACACCGTACAGAGGCACTATGCCTTATTCAAATCCCTGTGAGCAGCCATGCTTGATCAACGGCTTCTTCTAATCCTTTCCAAAATATGTTTGGAGGGAAGGCTGTCATTGAGAAAACAAAAAGGGCAAGCCTGGTCCAGAAAGCATCCCTCACAGAGACCGAAAAAAATCATCAGAATAGCAGAATGATGCAGAAAAACAAAAATTAGCCATAACCTGAAATCACATCACTGCTCTCTTTACACAACACGAAAGTGCCAGCGCCATTCAGGGTTTCTTCAAGATGGGGTCCTTGCAGCCTGGCACCATCACCACCATGCCTGCTGTTCTCTGTGCAGTCCGTCAGATAAAACTGGTTACTTTCAACTTATGTCTAGAAGGAGAATTCGTCCCCTAACCTGAAAAAACACTCACAAGATAGACTTTTGTTTTTCTTCATCTTAATGTTTTTCTAGTTGAGTTTATCAGAGGAGTGTGAGGCAGGAAACTGGTGATCAAACTTCTAAAATGTCTGTTATAGATAATAGATATCTATGTACAATTATAAAAAATTATAATGTTTCGACAACAAAGTCAGACATAACTCAGCAGAAGACACATTATTACCATGTGTGGTCTTGATGGCACCCTATGGACACAGACAGGAAGGTGAGACTACAAAGAAACTCACCGTGTTTATGGATAAATGCCAGTCCCTGTAGTATTTGATACATAATATTTCTGATGACTGACTCAGGGAACAGTTTGTTTCTGGAAGAAATGAAGGGTTTGTTAACCAAGGAAAACTGAAGAAGGCCAATGATACTCCTGGTGCCTTGCAGTCTCTGTTGGCTAAAAGTCTCATGGCTAGAGCTGCAGCGCTAACCACTGTAGGTTTAAAGGTGAAAATAGTGATGTTCATTGCTGTTGTTTTGATGTTTCAGAAAATCTCAAATCCAACAGCCAATGCCTTATACAGATATTCAGGAGTTAAAATATAAAGTGTCCCAGTAAGGGCAAAATACCCTGGGAAAAGTACCAATATCAATAAATAACTACTCACTCAGGCTTGGAGACCAAGTCCTGCATGTTTTAGGTCCCTGTTGTTGTTTTAAGACAGGGTCTTGTATAGCTAAGGCTGGCCTTGAATTTACCATCCTCTTGCCTCAGTGTTCCCAGTGTTGGGATTACAAGTTTGGACTACTGTGTCCCAGCATGCACTACTGTGTCCCAGCATGCTCCAGTTTTACACTGCATCTTGATACTATCTAATAAAGATTCAGTTAAGGGCGACCCATGAGAACCGTGCTTAATTTTTTCAGCAACTACATTTCAAAAAGTATTCGAAAAGCAAATGAAACAGGAAACAGTAAACTTACTTAAAAATTTTGAAGTTTACTTTGACTGTTGTATAAAACTATCAAAAGTACATATTTATATAAACATAAAATATAAAAAATATGCATGATATGTGATAATCTCACATACGTATGCACTATATATAATGATTAAATTGGTAATTATTTATGTTTCAAACACTTATCATTTCTTTATGGTAAAAACTTCAAAATCCTTTCTTCTATGTTTCAAATAATGCAATTTGTGATTCTGACCTATGGCCATCTATTATTACAGCATAGAAACTCCAGAACTTTTTACTTCTTAGAATCCATTTTTGGGTCTTTCCCTTGTCTCTATCTTTCCACTTAGTTTAAAAAATATATACTTATTTCAACATACAATCAATTGTGAGATCTGGTTTTACATAGCCCAGGGTATCCTTAAAGGTGCTACTTAGTTCAAGACAACTCTGTCTTCTGATGTTTCTTTCTCCACCTCCCAAGTGCTAAGATTACAGGTGTGAAGTTACCATGCCTGACTAATAAAAAAATTACTTATAGTTTTTGGTACTAAGTTTCTAAAACTTGGTGTACAATTTAATTCGCATTATAGCACAGTTTATTTTAATCGTTGTAAGGGTTCAAAAGTCCTATGAGGCCAGCTACTTGAGAAGTGGCATTTAGATATGCCCTTGGTAAGTCCCAGTAAGGATAAAATTAAGGGCACAAAATTTAATTTGTCAGGCCACCAACTAAAATGATGAGTACCTGAATATTAAAGTGAGAATTTCCTTCCAGCTGGTTAAGATTTATGACTCATATATCTCTAATGACTTCAGCAGCTAGTTTGTGGCCAGCAGTGTGGATGGCTGTGGGTATGTATTTACTTGTAGAGGCCAGAGGTGAGTGTTGGATGTCTTCATCCATTACTCTCTCTCTGCCTTGTTTCTTTGAAACAGAGTCTGTCACTGAATCAGGAGTTCACTCGTTGGCCGGACTGTCTGACAAATGAGGTTCAAAGCCCCGTCTGTCTCCCTCCCCCATGTTAGGGTTACAGCCATCCACTGCCTTCCCTGTGTGGTTCTTGAGGATCAGAACTTGGCTCCTCATAGCTTGTTCTGAGGGCACTTTATTCACTGAGCTGTTTCCCCAGCTTCTAGCTCATCTCTTCTTGAAAGCTACTTTATTCCTTTAATCATTTATTCACAACTCTTTATAAGATGCTTGAAAGGGCAACGAAGACAAAGGTCCTCAATTTTGCCTACAGCCAGCTTTACTCGTGAACATAAGGCTGACGATTCTCTTCAGTCTAAAGGGGAGGGATGGTTGGACGTCTGTGTGCTGTCTTTGTGATAGCTGCCGGTGCACTGGAGAGTGGGAGTGAGGTCATAGCTGGCTCTGCAGTGTCGGATGCTACCATTTGATGAGATGACAGCCCATCTATATCTACCTGTTTGAGTTATAAATCAGCGCATCGTCGAGTGTGAGGCACTGAAAGAATTCAAGGGACTCATGGAAAAAATGGCAGGGAAAATAGTTTTCATAAAATAAAGACGTACCTGTCTTTCATTAGCTGATAGAGGTTTTCTTTCATATATTCAAATATAAAATAAAGATGGTCATTTTCTCTGATAACTTCTTTTAGTTTAATCACATTGGCATGATTGAGTTTCTTCAGGGACTGTAAAACAGGACAGCAGTATAATTCCTAAAGCACATTTATAGAGATCGGCAAGACCTTAGACATGCTAGTTATCTCGGGTACTTGTCTATTTCTTTTACATTCATTAATAAATTACATGTTAAGAGCTACATAAATTTAAAAAGATCTTGGGGAATTCGTTTAAAGCAAACATTAAATGATTTAAGCAATGAATGTTAAGTGAAAAGGGCAAGCAAGCAGCAGCAGCTATAGCCAGTCACTTTCCCTTTCCCAAGGCAGGTCTAAGTTTTTCTTTCTGACTTACCCATGTCAGACACCATGCCAAGTATCTAAAATCTCACCCAAGTCACACCACATAAAACACAAGACAGCATATGCCATGATTTAAAAGCATGCTTTTCTGTTGAGGAGTTTTGAAGTTATCTTTAAATAGAAGAAAGCCTCGTTTTCTGTTCCCCTCTAACATGGGAGCAAGGATTTCAGGAATGTAAAGGAAAGGAGTGGATGCAGTTATCTTTAGGATGCATATGGAAGAGTCTAGGACAGGGATTCTCAACCTGTGGATCACGACCCCTTTCAGGGGTTGCATATCAGATATCCTACATACCATATATTTAGATTGTGACTCATAACAGTAGCAAAATTACAATTATGAAGTAGCAATGAAGTAATTTCATGGTTGGGGGTCAGCACAGCACGAGGACCGGTGTTAAAGGGCTGCAGCGCCAGGAAGGTTGAGAAGCGCTGCTCTAGAATGATCTCAGTGGCTGTGCTCAGACACGGTGTACTGTTGGGGCCTTGGCCTCTTTACCTTAACTTCTCGCAAGTTCATACACTCATCCCAAGAATAGAACTTTCTCTTCATCCTGAAAGAGATGAGGGAACATTTAGTGTTCAGGATTGAAGGCTGCAAGAAACAAATTTCACAACCTCTGGTGTTCCTGAGTACGGCTTCACTTTAGGTGACATTCTTCCTCTCCCGAAGGAAATCCCCTCCTCTCTGCTCGAATCTCATAGTGCCAGGTCTGGGCTCAGAGGTGCCAGGTCTGGCCCACCATTCTGCTTCAACACAATCATGACGACCCTGGAGCTTCCCTTCTGAGTGAGTGTCTAACCAATTTTAGTCAATTTAATTGTGATTTTTTTTTTAAAGTGTGATTTTTCCTTGCACGTTTCCATTCTTTCTTCAGCTTAAAAGATAAACACCAACACTATACTTCAGAGCTGGGGTAGGGCGAGAGTCAAAGTTTGTTAGCAAACTCAGTGAAGGATTTGACCTGACGACTTTACATTACTACTTGAGCTTTGGGTAAGAGGCCACAGAATAATTTAAATTAGGGAAAGAAACAAAAACCAAACCAAACCAAACCAAACCAAACCAAACCAAACCAAACCAAACCAAACCAAATCATGAGTGATCCAAACTTGGACAAAGTGGTATTTACTTTTTCCTTTCCTCTCCCCTTCCCTTCCCTTCCCTTCCCTTCCCTTCCCTCCCCTCCCCTCCCCTCCCCTCCCCTCCCCTTTTCTCCTGTGGGTAGGGTCTGACCCCAGAGACTTTTGCATTTTGATCTTTACTCACCCTCTCCCCATTAGAGACAGCAGAACTCTGTATAGTATGATAAAGTAATAAATTCTACTCTGCACACAGCAGATAGACAGCACTTTTATGTGACTGGATTTTTAGTCATCAAAAGTAACAGGAGACAAGAACAACTATGTGCTAGGCAAGGAGGTATCCACCAGCACTCAGGACAGAGGCAGGCAGAGCTCTTTGAGTTTGAGGGCAGCCTGGTCAACATAGTGAGTTCCAGACTGCTGGGAGCTACAATAGTGAGACCCTGTCTCAAAACAAAACAATCTCCCTCCCCCCACACCAAGCCAAACCAAACCAAACTTAACCAAACTAAACCAAACCAAACTACCCAACTGTGTCCTTGATCACATTTATTGCATTAGTCTAACTGTACAATGGTTGGTCTTCAGAGTCAATTTAACTGCATTTAGAATCACCAAGGATACACACCTCCGGGCATGTGTATATGAGGATGTTTCCAGAAGGGTTTAACTGAAGAGGGGAAAGCACATCTTGAGTGTGGGTGGTCCCAACCCATAGGCTGGGATCCTGGGTCAAATAAAAAGAAAGTAAAAATGAACTGAGCACGAGAATTCATCTCGTTCTACGTCATAATAGCTGAGGTATTAATGTCTAGCCTGTTGGCATCATGCCTTCCCAGCTATGACGGACTGAATCCCTCCTCCAGCCAAGAGGCAAGCATAAACCTTCCCTCCCTTAGTTGCCTTTGTTGAGTATTTTATCACAGAAAAGAGGAACTGATACAATCTACTGATGATTTATAGATCAAAGTTATTCGATTAACTTCGATAAAGCAGGGCCTCATAAAGTTATAGTGCACATAGTAGAACTGAGGCATAGGATTGACAGCTAAAGGGAGATCAAGGTCTGACTTCACAGCCTGGGCTCAAATCCTTGTTCAGCTGCTCATGGATGTACGGCCCTGGATGGCCCCTCTGCGGCTCAGATGTCTTTCCATAAAGACATGCTACTGTACTACAAAGCGTAGTGAAAACTTAAGGCTATTCTTATTTTTATGAATTATCTTTGAACAATCAGGAGACCTGAAGAGTGTCACGGCTAGTATTTTACAAGTATCCTTAGAAATCAGAATTTCATTTAGACTCCTTCAGGCCCTGGAAGGAAGCTTATGAGGTGGCTTAGTGAACTTCAGAACATACCCAAAGGTACTGCTCATGGAGATGGGTTTCTAGAAAGTTGCTACTTTCCAAAATCTAACATCAAGTAAAAATCAATTCAAACAATGCCATATAAGAAAACTAGTTTAATAAAATGATTACGCTACCCCAAAGTGCATGTATGAGATGTGATTCTTTCCAATTCGATTTCAGAAGTGTGAAAGTATCTTGAGATGGGTGAGGTGGCTCAGTGGGAAACTGCTGCCAAGCCTGACAGCTCGGGTCAGAGGCCCCTAGACTGATGCGGAAGGAGGAAATACCTGACTCCCACACGTCGTCTGTTGATTTCCACAGGCACCCTATGGCGTGCAATAATAATACGTGCAATAATTTCTTTTAAAAGAATCTGGTCTTCAGGACCCAGGTAAAAACATATCCAAATTAACTTTTAGAATTCAATAGACACTGTGGCTTAGCTCTGACTTGTACAATCTTAACTCTTCTCCCATGCTTATTAATATGGTGCCTTCTGTGCAGCAGTACCTCCCAAAGGGGATACACTCCAGGCAGTAGACAGCTCTGCCATTCTCCCTGGCCTATCTGTGCTGTCTTCACATGCGTGCCTCCACTCTAGCGAAAGGGACTGTCCTAAAATTCTGAGTTAGGTTTTCTGGTTCAAGTGCTTTGCAGCTCCTTCCCTGGGATTTATGGCTTTAGGCTCCTCCCACTCTTGTGCCTTAGGCTCCTCCCACTCCCCTGCCTTAGGCTCCTCCCACTCCCCTGTCTTAGGCTCCTCCCACTCCTCTGCCCCCCTTTCCTCTCACTGCTCTCAGCTACTCAGCTCCTGCAACTCCCTAGAAATGTTACTTGTTGAAGTAGTCTTCCTTCCTCCTTAGAATAACAACAACCGTAATAATTCATGAAGTTCACTCTCTATGGAACTGGTTCTCAACATGTGGGTTGTGACCCCTTTGGGGGTTGAACAACTCTTTCACAAGGGTCCCCTTAAACCATCTGCATATCATTTATATCAGATGTTTATATTATAATTCATCACAGTAGCAAAATTATAGTTATGAAGTAACAAAAACCATTTTGTGGTTGGGGGGAGGCACCACAACGTAAGAAGCTACAGCATTAGGGTCTCAAAGGGTCTCAGCATTAGGAAGGTTGAGAACCACTGCTCTCTGGGAAGCCTCCTATGATAGTTTGCTGGCATTAGCCTCTCTCTGTTCCTAAGACTAAGTTTCCACTCCTCTCCCCCCAATTATGTTGTGACTTGTAGATTTGATAGCTACGCGTCTGTCTTGTCTTCATTTTGTCATGAGCACATGTATAGTAAGTATGCCGTAGGCGTGCAACAACTAACTGTGCTGTAGGAAGTTTCCCTGTGTGAAGTTCCTGTATGAAGGGCTGTGTTTGTGACATATGTGTGTGTGCATAGTGGCCTGTGTACTATGTAGCTAATGATGACCTTGGATTTATCCTTCTGCCTCTGCCTCCTAAGTGTAGATTAGGGGTGTGTACCACCACATTCACTTTGTATATCAGAGACGAAACTCAGGGCCTTGGGTATGCTGGGCAAGCTCTCTACCAACGACACCTCAGTTTATGTGACTTCTAGGTGAGTTCTCGGTTCTCCTGAGCCTTTACTTACATCTCACACCTGAGACTAGTCATTGTGGGATGCCTAAGAGGTAAAAACAACTACTGTTTTTCTCTCTAGAAGCAATAATATTTTGTCATCTTAAAATCAAAAGATGCTAGCCTTCCACGATACTAGAATACCCAGTGCCCTGTGTTAACCTTCTATCTACATCTTCAAAAGCCAAAGCTGTGAAGAATATTGTGTCTGTCCTTCTGGGCCTTTAGAGACATTTTTATGAGTCTGCTTGTGCATGCTAACACGTTTCTTTGTATAACTGAGGAACTGTAATCCACATGTATGTACATGCACAGATAGTTGTTACACATGCTTCCGGCCTTTCCCGCCATCCTGATAAGTTAAAGAGGCTCCATCACGTTACAGGGATTTCTTTCTCATTCCTCTTTGCTAAATGTTTCTTAAAAACCGATGAGTAGGCACTAAATTTCCCTAGGTCAATTTACTAACCCATCATTCATGTTAGCACTTATCATGTACTTACTTATTTGGTAACAAAGGGCAGTTGGAGACTGATTATAAAATAATGCCATCATGTATGTGATGTTTCAGATAGGGATATTTTTAAAAGTACCCGTTAAAGCATAGATTATCTTTTAGATTTTCATTCTTTAGTGGACTCTGTCTCCAGGTCTAGCCTGGGGAAAACCAGCTGCAATGTCATGAGCATTCTCAGGCTACCCTCTGTAGAGGCCCAGGTGGAGAGGAACTGAGATTGTTGTTCACAGTCAGCACTGACTTGATACTCATAGTTACTAGCCAGGCTGGGTTTGGGTCACACTTCATGCACTAACGTCCTAATCCTCGGGATTTTATATATCTCTGTGGCAAATATTTGAGGAAGTCAAGGTAAAGCGAGGTCATTAGCTGGCCCTGATACTCAACAGGCATCCTTACAGCAGGGAGAACTGGACAGGGAATCATAGAGAGAGAAGAGAGTGGTTGGTAAGCCAGGGAGAGAGGTCAGAGCAGATCCCTTCCTCACAGCCTGTAGAAGGACGCACCTCTGCCAATGCCTTAGGGACTGGGGACTTTAAGGATCCAGAAATACATGAAAATAAATTTGTCATTTAAGGCCGGGTGTGGTGGCACACTCCTGTAATACAGTGGAGTGGGAGGTGGAGGCAGGAGTTCTACACAGTGAGTAGAGGCCAACAAGGAATGAGTGGATGGATGGATGGATGGATGGATAGATGAATGGATGAATGAATGAATAAAATTGGGTGTTATTTAAGCCACCCAGTCTATAGAACTTTGTGGAATGGGAGATATATGGCCCAATTATTAGATAAACTGTGTTTCCTCACTCCTAAATTCCTATGCTGAAGTCTTAGTCCCTCAAATTGTGATAATATTTAGAAACATGATTTCAGTTTTGTTTGTCTGAGTTCTTTGCTGTTGTTACTGTTTTGAGACAGTATTTCCTTAAGTAGCCCAGCCCAGCTTTGAACTCATGATTCCCCTGCCTTAGCCTCTTCTGTGCTGAGCACCAATGTGCCCAGCTGAGGTAGTCTCTGAGAGGTAATTAATATGCAGTGGAATCCTTAAGAGAGGACCTAATCCTGTATTGTCCTTATCAGGAAAGGAGAGCAACACACACACACACACACACACACACACACACATACATAAACCACATACACCACACATACACATCACACACACCACACACACACACACACCACGCATACACATATACCACATACACACACCACTCACACACACACAACCACACACACACACACATACACCACATACACACACGCTACACATACACCACATACACACACCGCTCACACACCACACACACATACACACACACACACACACAGAGAGCAGAGAGAGAGAGAGAGAGAGAGAGATCATGACACATACACAGAGGGAAGAACATGTGGACACAGAGACAACCAGCTACAGGGCACAGAGAGAGGCATCAGAGGCCAGCCCTGCGGACGCTCTGAACTTGGGTCTACTAGCTTCACAAATAAATGGCTGTTTAAGCCACACAGGCTACCATGTAGCCATATCAGACTGGAATAGTGAATCACACTGAGAGAAGATCCTTCAGCCCAGCCAAACTTCTGACAAATGCAGCCCTGGTCCATTTCTGGGCTATCTCATAAGACTTCAAGCCAGAACCACTCAGTAGCCATTTCTTAATTCCTGATCCACAGAAAGAGTGTAGATTATGAAATCTTAGCCTTGTTTTAAACTATCCAACTTCAGGGTATTTTGTTACGTAGCAAAAATATAATAAATCAAACAAGTAATAATTAATGGTTGGTTCTATTTACTTCCATTTATACTCAGGAAAATAGCATATCTCTTTCAGAACTCAATTTGACAAGTCCATCCTTTTTCTTAAAGAATTAGTAAGTTCTATTCTGTCTCATGTTTAAACTTAAATATTCACCATCTCTAGTTTTATCCTATATATATTGGGCATAAAATGCAGGGTGCTCAGACTTACTTGGTTTATTAATGCAACATGGACTTCCTTCATATAAGTGTATTCCTTTTTGGTAATTTTATTTTTTCTAGAACAGTGTTTCTCATCAGTCAAACTACCTTGAGGTCTGGACTGAACCTTACTCCCTAATGCTGCAGGTTCTCAAGCAAAGGAAAACAAACACCCAAGCTTTGGATAGACTCCACGGTGGGGTGCACACACCTCTTGATGGCCACCAGCTCGCCGGACTCATTGCTCTTGCCCATAAGCACACTGCCGTAGGTGCCGTCCCCGAGCTGCCTCATGGTTGTGTATCGGTTCATCTTGGGGAAAGGTAATCCAGCAGAGGTCGTTGATGGAGATCTCTTCCTTGTTGAGTAGAAATCCAAATACTTCTTTATTTGTGGCCCTCCTCCTTTTTGTTGCTACACTGGAGACAGGCTTGTCATCATTAAACACGGCTCCTCCTCAAGATCAAGTAGGCTCATGAGACACAGCAAGAAGGAATCTGGCAAAGAGACTCTGCGTCCATTCTTATGGACACCCTGTGAAAAACCGAAGCAAAGAACGTTTTCAGTACAGAGTCCCTACAACACGTTTACTGACATCCTAGATGCATAAAAATTAGAGTGGAAACAGAGGCCATTGTAAGAGGTCATCTGTGCCCTGTGGAAGGAAGTCCACACACAGCAGACTCAGGCAGCTTGAAGTTTCCCGGTCCCTGCACTGGGTGATCTACGCTTGACTGTTCAAAGTGGGATTACTGCTTTGTGAGATTATCTTTTTATTTGCTATAATCCATGTTGTTTCAAAGGAACCAGGGAAAATCAGACAGCCAAAGCACATCCATTTTTGAAGGAGATTTTAAATTACTTCATTTAGCATGTTAAATTTAAATTGTATTACTTATTTTAAAATCCCTAGTGCATTACAACGGTCTACATTAGGCAAGGTAAATATAAAACAAGACATGGAGAGAAGAGTAACATAGAGAAACTTCTTACTTCGTTTAAATAACATGCCACTGTCTTTTACATTAAACCAAGAAACATTTAAGTGTAATTATGAATACATTCATACAAAGAAATAGGAAATGCAAACACTTTTTACACACAGGTATGTGAGGCAGGCAAGCATAGAAGACAGGTTAGCCTGGGTCTCTATTTGGCTTTGGGTTATGCTCACCCACCCTCTCTTGCAACAATGCACTCGGCAGCCCTGTTCCTTCACCTGCACATATGCACTCATGTACCTTTCTAAATAATGCATCTAGCAAATCAGAACCCCCTTGAATCCCACCGGCACCAGGTCACATGTACAACACTGTAGGATTTTCCACCCCTAGTTAAAAAAGAAAATCACATTTAACAGTTTCTATTCTATTTAACTCTATTCCCAACATATATTGGGCACAAAGGATGGAGGGGCTGATGTGGCCAGAAGTGGTGTGCATGCGCAGTGACACACAACTGTGTCCTCATGGGAACTTTTAGGTGAATCCACTACTTACCATCTAAAGCCCAGGCGGATTTGGGCATGCGTGTGATTAAGAAACATTATGGGGAGGAGCAGGCACAGCAGACAGAATGAATGCATGATCCGATCTACCAATCAAAATTGAGAACCATGCCAACGTTGCCCCTTAGTCACCAGCGCCTCCTCTTGAGCCCCAAGCAAGCAGAGTCCCTGAGCACTCCCACTTGTGAAGTGCACTGTCAACCTTCACGGTGGGCCCCTCTCTGATCTGTAATCTTGCTTTGCTCCAGTGAAGTGATTTTGCTGTTTGCAAATCTGTGTGAGCTCTTACTTTCAATTCTTTGGATAAGAAGCAAAGAACAGGAAACACCCACCCTAGAGCCCAACCACCAATAGCATGTGCACATGTATACATGAGCACACGCACTTGTTTATTTGGGAATACATGTGATTATGTGTGATGGGATTTAAGAGGCACACCTGCAAAGCTGTGGAATGTGCGTCTCACTGAATTATTGAGTCTGAGTTAGAGGATTAAGGATTGGGCTGAAGACACAGCTCAGGTGGCAGAGAGCCTGTCTCGCACACTCAGAGCTCTGGGCTCTCAGAGCCTCACACTCAGTACTGGCTAGCGCAGCACCCAGGAATTGGAAACAAGGGGATCAGCAGTTCAAAGTTTTTTCTCCTGTATACAACAAGTTTGAAGACACTCTAGAACACAGGAGACTCAGTCAACAAACAAACAAACAAACCAAAAAGCGGACTAAGGCTCACCTGGCTTCCAAATTACTACGTAATGGTTTGAAAACCTTTTGATGGGCCAAGGTAACTAAAAAAAGGGCAGTCCAGCTCTAAAGTGCTATGAAACAATGAACATATACCTTTAAAATTATTTATTATGGACTTGAAAGATAACATAGTAGTTCCAAGTGATTGCTGCCAAGCCTGATGACCTGAGTTCAATCTCTGGGACCTGGGATCCGGGACCCGGGACCCAGAACGACTCATGTTTCTCTCTCTCTCTCTCTCTCTCTCTCTCTCTCTCTCTC